CTTCATTTAGTAACCTATAAAATTCAAAAAGCAAAACATTCCAAATGATAGAGTAAGTTGTCCATAATCTTATCTAATTCTTCAACTAAAATAATATTATATATTCGATGCATCATAGCAGTGCACAAAACCAGGGTGAGTGAGTGACTGAATATCTCAACCACAATCAGGTTCTACAAATAATGGCATTTTGACTTTCCTGTCTTTCTTTTTCTGCCATTTATTATTGAGAGATAGACCTTCACAATTTGCATCAGCATTTTTTGCATGAAAAAGATCATATATTGCACAAATATTCTTTTCAAGGAATATATACAAGCAAAAGCAGACTAAGGCTTCGTTTGGAACGTATTCGGTGCGGTGCATTTATTATGAAAAGAAGTGCCAAACGTGACTTTGAAATCCAAACGGTATTACAGTGCATTTTATTTTTGACCGATTGCCCACTATAGTCTGTACCTCCAGTCCACCACCGTTCCAATTTCTTTAAATTTTTTTTCCATTTTTCTCCTTGAACTTCTAACAACTTTTAACTTTTTTTTTCTTTTTTATTTAAAAAGTATAAAGTAATTTTTGTTAATTTAATATAAAAATAAATTTCATTATTATACAATAAATTAATTAATAAATTTATTATATAATAAATTAATAAATAATTTTTAATTATTTATTAACAAAAAAATTATTTGATTTTAAAATTTTTTAAAATTTTTTAATTATTTATTAATTTTATAAATATTAAGTAATGTAACATTTTAATTACATACAATTTGTAATCACAATCTTTAATAATTTTTTTTATTAAAATTCATCTCATCGTCACTGTTATTTTTATATCCAAATACATATTTTATTATTAATTTTAATTTCATCACTACAATAATTAATTTTACTTCCACCACTATTTTTAATCTCATCAAAACAAATTTCACCGTCCCTCCTAAGCAATCTCCAACTGAACAGTAATAACTATTTTTATAAACTACACAAAGAAGCGGAGAAATGAAAAATCTCACCTGTAAACAGCCTATAAGCGGTTGGCACACTCCTTTTCTCTGCAACCCAAAATACATCTGATTTTTGCCGGCTATAAAGCCCTGGATCAATTATAACAGGCTTCGCTCTTTGATACCTGGAATCGAGCAAAAAGACATTCCTTAAGCAGATTCACATACAAGCATGAAGACTTGCAATGTACTGCTACCTTTAAATTGATATCTCTTAGACCCACGAAGATAAATAAATGTTGAAACAGATACTAACAAAAGCCTAAAGGATGAACCACCTACTCCTTCCATCCAATGTCACTGTTATGCTCGATAAAATTAAGGTCTCTTGGGATAGTTGATAACGTGTGAAGCAGATCTGTCACACAAAAAAAGAAAACATACAAATTGAAGGCACCGAGAAACCAATGCAGCAACAGCAAAACTAGTACTCGTAATCAGAAATAATATTCCAAGGACCAGAAACAAGAATAAAGTTTCAGGGCAAAATGGAGGAAGAGTGAAAAGTTAAAAGCCATGAATAGGTGGTTGTTAATCACTAATGATTAATTATAATTAGATACTAAAAACAGTGTCTTATAAATAGTCATTTGTAATTGGAGAGTCAGAAATCTAATTCTTATTGCAGCTAATGTAGTCAGCTAAATGCATGCATATACATTGAACATAACTCAAAATTAACAGCAATTCAGCAATAAATATCAAGCAGGTCGAATAAAATTATCCAAGATTTTAGAATCAACCAAATCAAACCCAGAAAACTGCAAAATTAGTAACTTTGCAATCCTCTATTTCTCAGCTCAAAACCAGAAATAACACCAACCAAAACCAATGAATTGCTGAATAAAAGGATTAACATCAAATCTAAAAAGCAAATATCACCCATCTTCAACATACCATCTTGAGTAACCAAAGGGTAATCAGAAGCACTCAAGTTGATGAACTAATCCCAGTCACCACCTTCCTTAAACAAAATGGCAGCAGCATGAAGGGTATTGGTAACCATAATAGGGCCTCTATAAGTCACCAGATTGGCTCTAGTAACCATCCTGACATTCCCAACTTTCTTAAAAAGCGGCTCACTTTTCACAAACTTTGCCACCTCCAACCTCTCCTCGGCAGAAGCCTCCAAATCCAAATGCACAGCATATTGGTTCCTGGGATGATAAAAAGCTTTCAACGTTTTCTTCAAGCTCTCCCCATCGCTAGCCGAGCCAGATATGAGATAAGGCAGTTTGGGAACTCGGGCGCCACGTGGAGCATGGATTCCACGATCTGTGGAAGTTGGGTTTTAGTTCTCGCGTACGGATGTAATAAAAAATATTATGAATGATGATTTAAATCTCATAAAAAATTTATTTAAAATTTGTTAGAGATTTATTTGAGATTTGTTAGATATTGTTTAATGGATAAGAAGACTTGTAAAAAAATAATTCTAAGAGAAAAAAAATTTTTAATAGGTAAATTTGACTTGTAAAAAAAAAATTTAAAAGAAAATAGATTTTTAATATGCAAGTTCGTATAATTAGAAATAAGTAAAGTCTATACAAGATTAAGTATGAGAAAAAAATGTAAAAAAGTTATAAGATTTTATAAGATAGATAGCTCATAGGAGTATTAAGGCTTACATCTTATAGATGTGTATTTTTGTTATAAATAGATTAAAAGAGACTGAGATGGTGTGTATGTTTATTTATGAATGAACTAAAAGAGATTAAGAGGATCCATATAAGTATGATATATAAGTGCATATAAATATGTATTTAGTTGTGTTAAAATGATATATGTGAGTATGTGTTTGTTTGAATGAAAAATATTTCATAAAACTAGAAAAGATTAAAAATATCTATAAATATTAATTATTGAGTGATTAATATATTTTGATACATATTTATAATTTTTTATAACTAATAAATTTTTTTTTATATACGTGAACGTAGCCTAACAAAAAAAGAGGAAGTGGAGGTTACGGAGATGATGATGTGAAGAGTTGAAAGGATAAAAATATGTTATGATCACGTAATATATTCAACATGCTTCGTCACTTCGCTACTTTGATTTAACATATATATAATTTATATTTTAAATTTGAAATTAATTAATAATTTTAATTTAATATAATATTTATAAAAATATTACTTTTAATATAAATTACATATAAATGTAATATTTTATTAAGTTAACCTTTTAATTAAAATATCAAATAATAATTAATATAATATATATAATTAAATAAATAATAAAAAATATATTTATATATTTTTTCTAATTGAGATTGATATTTCCCTAATAAAAAAATAATTCAATTGGTTAAGATTCATTTTTTTTTATAAAAAAATTTTGAGTTCGAATTTAATCGATAGTCGCTTGTTAGAATTATCTCGAATGTATGATTTACGCTCACCTATCTTAGGCTGTGATTACCTGTCTTATATTAACTTAAAAATTAAACAATCTATCCATCTTAAATGTTTTTTACCAAAAAAATATTGATGTTTCGATTTAAGAAAAAAATCTCTGAACTCTTATCGAATCTTGATTGAAAAAGTTATACCTTTATTAAATCAAAATAATAAAAATTCATCTACCATATCTTATCATATTAATTCAAATTAATAGTAATTTTTTCTTTAATTCAAAAATTAATGAAAAAATGTAGTGACGCATACAGTAATGAAAAAGAAAGCGCGTGGGAGGAAAGGGGAAGTGTAATTGGCAGAGTGATAGGTTGCGGTGGCACAAGATTTGAATGCTGTGCTTCTTTTTCTCCACTTTAAATTAATGAGATGCGATGAGAATTTAATCAGTGGGGGAAAAAAGTTGAAAACTATTAAGCAAAATTATTACAAGCTGGATGGTCATTTTAATGTCCACCGATGAAAGCTGCCACTGCAGCCCTTGCACGATTCACGGATGGCTTCAAATTGCTGCAAATTCTTTACTTACTTTGTTTCTCCGACAGCAAATTTCTCTTTGAAACTTGCAAACAAAGTATGCAAATGTGAATGAGCACCGGCGGCCGGCCTCTTGAGTGTCGTACCTGCTTCATTAAAGACGAAACATTGTGGAATGAAAGCGTAAAATCTTGGGCGGAGATTCTAAGAGCAGATTCACAATCATATATAGTTCCAATACAATAAATGTCCAAAGATAGGAACACTTTGTTTTGGATTCCATAAGCTTGCGGTTTAGATATAAGATTATCTTGTAAAAATTTAAGTAAATCATTAAAAAAAATCGAAGCCACTGAATTTCAAATTCTTTGTCTTAAACCAAGTTAATTAAAAAATCAGCATAAAAATTCGTTTATCTATATATATGTTTCAAAAAATATTTTCAATTTCTTCTCATTAAACTTTATTTAATATTTAATAATTTTATTGAATAATAATAAATATTAAACTTTGAATTTCAATGATAAAAATTCAAATCATGATAATTTTAAAAATTAAAAAAAAATCTAATTTAATCCTTACCAACTTTTTTATAAACTTTTAAAAGTGTGTTTTAATTTACATTTTTGAATAATTTATTCTAGTTAAAAGTGTAAATGATACATTACTAGTCGTAAGCTATTCAAATTCAATTCAAATAAAACTTGAATTTAGTTCGGTTATTATCGAGTTGAATTTAAGCGCAAGTAACTCGATCTATCAATCTAATCGAGTTCGAATATTTTTTTTAACCAATTTAAACAGTTCGTAAGCCTAATCGAACTTTTATACTTAAATATATTTTTATTATTTTAATTAATAAAAAATATTAAACTCGAGTTCAAGTTCAAGTTTAAATAATTAAAGTTTTTATCGAATATAATAATTAAATTTATTTTTATATTGTAATTGAATTTAATAAAACGAGTTCGAATAACTCAATTTATATCTTAAGTCAAGCTTTAATTAAAAATATAAAATATAATCGAATTTGAATTGAATTTCAAATCTTCAATTTTGAATCGAGTTTAAATTCAAGTCTAATACTGTATAGACTCAAAGTGAATCGATTACACCTTGATCCAATTGAAACAAATTTTTAGAAGGCGTGAAAAGTTTGCACGTGACAGAAAAACTATTGAGAAGCCATGGGTGAAGGATGTTGATTGTTGGTTTACATGAGCAAAAGAAAGGAGAAAAAAATCATTCATGCGGACTGAAATCTTGCTTCTATATTGATTGTGAAAGACAAAAGAGAAAGGAAACCAAACCCAAACCAATTCTTAATGCACAAAGGCGAAAAAAGCTAGAAGAGCACCTATGATGTGAAATCCTAAAGAAACCTTGCACTTATCCTCAGCAGAGGAGCCATTAACAATGGTCTCCATCTGTATAGCAGGCTTTGGTTTCCGTGGCTTGTACCACACCGCGCAAACAAGATAGACTGCAAAATTTATGATGCCTAGAACAGCTAGAAGTCCATAGAAGCAGTCAAGTCTCCCATGGTTTATATTATTACCCAGCCATCCTCGCCCATTATTACTTCCTGTCACCCTTTTCGCTACTGATACCAAGAAACAGCTGACGAAGAAACCAAGTGATAGAGTTGTGAGGAAGAGACCAGTGCTCATAGTTTTCATTCCTTTGGGAGACTTAGTGATGAAGAAATCAAGCTGGCCTGTGTATATGAAGGCCTCACCAGCACCCACCAGGAAGAATTGCGGAATCAGTAAGAACACGCTTATGGGGAGGGTTGCTGTGGTGGCAGCCGCAGCTCCAGCTTCTGCCAGTCTTTTCTTCTCGACTACTGCTGCAGCTGCCATTCCAAAAGTTGACAGGACTAGGCCGATGGCTATTCTCTGTAGGTTGGTAAAACCTGTTGCCAAAAAATGAAAATTGGTAAATTTATTGAAACAATTATCAATGATTATAGCATAATTTTGTGTCACTTATTTATTTTCTTATAACATACCTGGTTTTCCTTTCCATTTCTTCCAAAATGGCATAATGAGACGGTCATATACAGCCAGGGTGATCAATATAGCTGCCACAAAGAAGACGGTGAGGGAACCTGCAGGGATCTGGAAACCTCCAATTGATCTTTCCATGGTGGAGGCTTGCTCCACTGAAAAGGTGATCATCTGTGCATAAGTGGTCCAAAATATGATGGTTTTGGCCCAAATTGGCAGAAGCCCCACCATCATTTTCACTTCCTCCACCCTCGTGACTGGGCGAAGTTTCCAGGGGTTTGGAGCTGAAACAACATTTCTTTCAAATTCTCCTTCCGCAACAATAGCAGCCTTGTCCAAGAATCTAGGAATAAGATGAGAAAAAACATTGAGCAAAAATGAATGAATGATAGCAGAAAAAGAAAGAAAATGAAAAAGTATCTTTATTCCCATGCAATTACTGAAGAACTGAGTAGACAGGAAACTCACTGGAATTGATCTGTGTGACGAATTCTTCTAGCCTCAGGAGAATCCTCGTATAATAATTCAACATTGTAAGGGAGTTCCATCTTCCTCTTATTTATTGCAGCTACGATAACTTGGAAAATCTGAACTATTGGACTTCCCAAGCTTTTCTTGTATCTGTATCTTTTAGTCCCTGATAAAAATATCAAGATGGCTACAAACATGGACACAGAGCAAATTCCATAAGCCCAGCTTCGACCAACTTCATCTTGGAGGTAGACAAGCACTGTGACCGCCATCAGGGTTCCAATACTAATGATGAAGAAGAACCTGTTGAAAAAATAGGACATTTGGGCTTTCTCCTTTGTATCTTTCTCGTCAAATTGATTAGTTCCAAATCCTGAGACTTGATTTTAGGCCACCAGTGCCAAGTGCAAATAGATATAGAGCCATGTATAAAATACACCTCTGAAATACATTGGCTGGTTGGCATGTATGGGAAGCTGATGCATGGCATGGTGGTGGGCGTAGCTGTGGCAGTTTTGTAGCTATTGCCAATGTGCCAGTCCCCTAAATCACCATGATCACCACAATCAAAAACTGAAAAGGATAAGATTGAAATAAACATTTTTTAACCAAAAACTTCAACTCTTTCTTTTATTTCTAGTTTTTTTCTTTAATGTTGTAAGAAGGGAACTATTTAAACACCCACCATTGCTTGTATAATGGCAAATATGGCAATTGTCTTGTATCTGCCAAGGAATGAATCAGCAAGAAAGCCTCCAAGCAAACACAAGAGAAAAGATGTGCCCATGAAATCTGTTACAACGTTGGCTGAAGTTGAACTTGGCAAATGCATTGTGCCAACCAAGTATTTCACAAGGTTAACTGCAATTCCCATTGTTGAAAGCCTCGCACATATCTCAATCCCTATGAAATGATTTCTACAAATCAGCATATATAATTGTTTGCCAGATAGTAGTTATTTATCTTTTTTTTTCTCTTCTTAATAAATTAAAAAAAAAGTTTTGTTTATAAAAAAGCCATTACTTTTCCAATTTCATCTTGTTCTAGTCCTGCTGTGAGAACTCATAAACAAAAGAAAATTTTTTACCAGCATTTCTGGTGGGGGACAATGATTAAAAAGTTTTATATCAGAAACCCTCAGAAAATTAAAGTGGAGTTGAATAATACCATAAAGCATTATGGTGGAAAGCAGATTGGCTTGAGAATATCTCCATAATTCAGAACTTACATACATGAATGGCCCAGCCAGAATATCTCCCCTATCCCATCAAACTCCGAACAGAAATGAATTTTACCATCATTAGAAGTATACATATGGATTGGAGTTCTAATGGGTCCCATGTGGTTTGTCCTCCTTCATCTCCCTTCTCCTCTACTCAACTCATAAATAAAAGTGAATCAAGGGAAATAAAATAAGAATCAGGTTTGACCACTCGCAAAATGTTTTTTCTTTTGACTTGTGCAAAGGGTGTGATGTGTTAGTGGTGAATCTGTTAATAAACTTTCTGTTTAATTTCCTAGTTGAACATTTAATTCAGGCTTGAAGGCCCTATCCCCTTTACATGAACTAACTGCTTGTTACTCTGATGGAGTATCATATAATATCACCATCCCCTTTCTCCTACCTTCTTCGCATTTTTTTACGAAAAGTATTCTCATTTAAGTGCAATTTTTTACTTGTTCTAGATGATAATATATGATGTCACATGGACTGTTAAATGCTTGTCCAGTAAAAACAGCAAAGAGAAAAAGGGGTAAAGCTCTTAGCATGATCTTATAAGTAAAGATCATAACTCTGGATCTAGTCAAGACCTGTCAATTCTTTTCCTTTTGCATGATTTAAAATTTATAAAAATATTCAATTATTCAAACCAAGCCAACTTAAGAAATGATGTTGAAAGAAATTCATGGTGGATGATGTAACATACATACCTAGAAGGAGGGCAGCAGGAATCCAACCACCAGTTTTTGACCTGTCAGCAGGGAAACCCTTGTAGTCCACTGCATCCGTCACTGTCCAAATCATCTTCCCTTCCTGAGAGCCATGAAAAAAAATATTTCAGAGAATTTCATCATGTTAACATAGAAAGAAAATGGCTTTAACAGCCATGGATAGAATAGAATATCTCTTAGTGCCATGGAAACTTAGACTGACCATTTTCTGAAATTCAACTGGAAAAAGAGCACAACAATGCTGCAAAAGAAAGACGGAGAGAAGGTGTAAGAATGCCTTTGTCTTCTACAAGAGCTTCAACTCTCAACTTGGATGTCTCGAAACTAGCTTCCCCTTTTATAGGCAAGGAGTCTATAACAAATAATGTTGAAGTTAAAGTAGCTCTCAACTAAATAATTGAGACAGATCATTGATCTTGTTCTCGATATAAAGGCTAGATATTAGGTTTATGGCATTTTTCAGTGAGAGGTTTATCATTGATTAAAACCAATGCTTTTTCTAAGCAATGGAAATTTTAAAAAGTGATGGTGATTGAGGATGGTTAGGAGGAAAAACTGGAAATTGGAACATACAAAACCAATATATCACCTTGAATCTCACCTCTTCTTTATGGTAGGATAGATTGGACGTTTGTGAAGGTTGTAAACCACAGCACCCAACATTGGCTTTATTTTAGTGCCTTTGATGCCCCACAAGCCAAAAAGGCTCCCCCACCTCTTAATTTTTGTTTATGAAAGCCAGAAACCAGTGACTTAAAACGTTTCACAAAAAATAAATTTTGACCCTTTTTCAACATGAAAAAAAAATTACAATAATGTTAACAAAAGAGACAAAACAGGAAAGAAGAAAGTAAACGTTTCCCTCAAATTAGAGACAAAAGAGAATTGGGTTGAAAAAGGTTTTAACACTGAAATACAGTGTGACCTCTTTTGACATGAAAAGAATGTTGCAATAGTGCATAAAAGAATATTTTCATTTACACAGCAAAGTGGTAGTTCTTTTTGCTTTTTTAACTGTCAATTTTAATGAAAGAAAAGGATCTCATATATATCAATCAAGAATATAGTTGCTAGGAATATAAATATGGTAGACCCCAGAAAATTCCTTTGGTAAAGGCTAATTGAGTTTCTTCTAATCAGTTTAATTATTGGTAATATGAAGACCATGTGCTGTCTTGTATGTATGGTTTGATTTTGTCCGTAATGTAAGGCAAGGTTATATACAAAATCACATATACCTTGCCTTACAAGTCAATCAAATGGGATGAACAGGTCAGACAAATCACTCACTCGGCTGTCAATCAACATGGTAGTATGCTGTCAGTCCTACCACTATATGAAGACATTATTGTGGACTCATCCAAGTTGACAAGAATAAAGCCGCCAGCAATTGCCGCCACATGGTTCATGAAAAAAGAGAGTTTCCCACTTCACAAAATTACGTTAGGTCCAAATGTGACCCACAACGAGACAATACCACCCATGGGACCGTTATTCTTTTTCTCTCCCTTCCCTTCCACTATCAATTCAAGGATTTCTTTAATCACTTTTAACTTCTATCAGGCATATGCCACAGAATCCACAACCACCTCCATCTGCAAGGCTTCTCCATATTGTTAATGTAATAACGAGGATGTCACTTTGGGAATATTTTTAGTGGTACTATACTATGGTAATAAATTGTAGCAAATGAGTGGTTCTCATTTAGGTTTGTTGTGAAAAATGATAAAAGATCTATTAGTCTCTACCAAAGGATTTTCAATAAAGATCATTACTATTTTCTTTGTCAGGACAGTTTTGAGTTGTTAACGAGTATCTATGTAATATCCTAATCCAAATGATAATTGAGTTGGATTAATATTAAAGTTTATTAATTTATTAAGAGGTTAATTAATAAAAAAAATTGTTGAGGTATTAAATAAAAAAAAACCTAGTTATTGTAAAACAAAAAGAAAATGAGAGTTCTTTTTTTCATCTTTTTTAAGATTAGAAAGCATGAAAAATTAAGTTAGAGATTCAAAATCAAAGGCTACAATTAAGTTAATCTCATAAAGATAAGTACATGACCTCTTTTTATTTAAAAAAAATATCATGTTGATTGTTATTACATGGAGTTAAAGTTTAAAAAAAAAACCAAGAAAATTATAAAATCTTTCATTAATCTTTATGATTTATTTGGGTAAATTATTGAATTTATTTATTTCATGTTCTTAAGATTTATTGATGATTAACGAATAGAGTTTAAAGGCTTAAAGCAGGAATTTTAATTTTTAAAGATTGAATAAGAAATTTTATTTTTAGATAAGATGCTATGATCTATAATAGTAAATCAAAATAGAATTTTATATTAATTGATAGGTTATTGCTATGATCATTTTATATTGTTGGAAAGCAAGTTGAATTTACTTTCTAATTAAAGAAACAGAAGTCGAATTCGAGTTTTCGATAAAGAGTTGTCTAATTTTTATTTAAAGATATATAAGCTGTAAGGCAACAGTATTAGGGTTGAATAACGAAAATTGTCTTAATTTTTATACAAAAAATTACAGATTAAGCCTATATGTTTGGAAAGCTTATTTAGTTTACTTTCCAACAAAACAAGCGGAATTGAATTTGGAATTTCCTATGAATAAATGTATAATTTTTATTATAAGGTATACATGTTATTTGGTAGCAACATATAACATGGATTGCAAAAATTATTATAATTAATCTACAAGGAATTACGAGGTATGTCATGTATGGTTAGAAAGTTTATCGAATCTAATTCTAATGCATTAAAAAGATTTTAATTCCTAGTTAGATATCTTGAGATATAGTCATTTTAGTGAAATAGCGTAGGCTATCAGAATTAGTTATTTAAGTTAATTCTTGTTTAACTTAGTTGTTTTGGTATAAATGATTTCAAATAAGTTGATTAATTTCTATTATGTTGAAATTATCTTGAATAAGCCATTAATTATTTTGAAAAAAAAAATTAAGTATTGGAATTGAAAAGAGGTAAATAGAATCTTACATACTTTGTTTGTTTTCGAACCTATATATATATATGTATGTTTCTAAACGAGTAAATGTTTTATTTCATTATTTTTTATATATGAAAACAAGACTAAGCATATAATTATTTTATGTTTTTGCTATATAAATAATGGATCATGCTTATGAATGAAATGAGAAAATGATTCATATTTAACGAACAATTTTATGATAACTATGGTTTTACATCCTTGAAAAATGAGATCGACACCAGAACTAGTTCTACGATCTTGACTAACTAGTTATAGTAATTAGCGTAAAGTCCTAATTAGCGGGTTATAATAGTTAGCAATGATTATGAGTATTAAATTATCGATATAGCCAATGTCACACATTATAGTAGTAATCGTAGTTAACGATAAACAAATGATAATGATGATTTATAATTATGATAATTTATGATAATTTTAAATATTGATCCATGATTTGTATGAAATATGTATTTAATTATGATTTATGATTCATAATTGATGAATTAATATTTTTTATATTGATTTATGATTTACGAAATTTTTGACATAATGATTATTTTTAAAATATTTTGACATTATGATTTAACGAATATTTTAAATGATTTATATAATATGTATAAAAACAATACTTGATCTAATAAGGTATATGAGATTATACTTATTGAACTATAGTTTGCTCAATTTCCTTTTACTTTTTTTTTCAAATAAATAAATGATAAATTAATTTAATTTGTAAAAAACTAAAAAACCAAATAAGAAAGATTACTTAATCATCGAAAATAATATTAGTTAATAAAATTTATAAAACGATTTTATATTTTTATATGATTTGTATTTAGATATATAAAAAATATATCATTAGTTAAATTAAAAATATAAATTTTATTTAATAAATTATATCAATTTATTGAAAAATTTTAAAATAATTAAAAAAAACTTTATATTATTTTGAAATTTACTTCAAATAATATAACTGTATTACATTTTAATCGCAAAACTTAATAATCTATTACTAATATATATTTCAATTCCAATCAAAGTAGGTCTTTCTTTAATTTTCTCCTCCTTCCCATCCCCTCTTTGACCTTCAATGTTCAGGTAGATTTCTGGCATGCATATCTGCCATAGGATGTGTAGGTAAGATATCAACTGCATGTACATGATAGACTGATAGTGGAACTTTAAATTGATTTCAATGTTCTGTTGCAAAGATTCAATAGTATTATCTGTTGGATCAGGCCTTCCATTGCATTTTTCCCATCAACAGTAGCAAAAAACCTCCATGAAGTTGCTTTTCTTTTATTTTCTTCACCTTCTTTCATCTATGGCATCTCTCTGGAATGCATAAGCTAGCCTCGTGTTACAATTTAGATGCACCTCCGATTCCATGAGACATAATTTAGTGGCAGCAATTATTTCTTGCTTAGGCTGTTGTACATGTCAAGCATTAATTTTCTGCCGACGATGGTCTTGTTTGTTCCAATCATAGCCACAAGCTCTCTATCATACAGCATGTTGTCCAAAGACAGAACCATATTAATCAGAGCAAAGCAACACAAAGGCCAATGTTAACCAACAAAAATATAAAGCATCCATTAAAACTCCACCTAATTACATCAGCATTTTGCTCAAAAAGCAAATTCAACAAATTGAAACCAAAGCTTAGATCTGCTCTAAGTTTAGACACTAATTAATCAACTAAAAACAACTAACCTACGCCCTCTCTCCTCTAATCCTCCTAGCAAGCTGGATATCCTTGGGCATGATTGTAACCCTTTTAGCATGAATGGCACAGAGATTAGTGTCTTCAAACAGTCCAACAAGATAAGCCTCAGCAGCTTCTTGAAGAGCGGCGACGGCACTGCTTTGGAACCTCAAATCCGTCTTGAAATCTTGAGCGATTTCTCTCACCAGCCTCTGGAAAGGAAGCTTCCTGATCAACAGTTCAGTGCTCTTCTGGTACTTCCTGATTTCTCTCAAAGCCACAGTTCCTGGCCTGAAACGGTGAGGCTTCTTCACTCCTCCGGTTGCCGGTGCTGATTTACGAGCGGCCTTTGTGGCTAGCTGCTTACGGGGAGCCTTGCCGCCGGTCGATTTCCTAGCTGTTTGCTTGGTACGAGCCATCGGTAGGATAATTTGGTGATGAACAAAGAGTGTTTGGTTTGCGAGAAATTGAAGAAAATTCAAATAAAAAATTTTGATGGGAGAATGGTGATGATTTTGTGGGATACATAAAGGGGGAATTTTGGAGAAGCGGGAAGAAGTGAAAATTTTGTGCTTCATAGGAAAGATTTTAAATGGGAGAATCTAAACCGTAGATTGGGTAGGCTGTCGACGGCTGTTAAGCTGTTAAAAACTTGATCTATGTGCAATGAGAAGTGACCAATAAGATTCGTTCTTTTAAGCGGCCTTTTTTTACAAGTTTTGGCTCCTTTTAATTTTTTGATGAGGTTTGTGACAGAGGATCTAGGCCGTCCATGGACTAGATTATCGACGGATATAATCTAGTAAACGGGTGAGCAACGGATAACAATCTGTGGGATAGCCAACCAGCCAATCGGATTTATCCATCACTTTTCTTATTTTTTTTATTTGAAGATATCTTATATCATCATAAATCTAAAAAAGGCTAAATGCTTAATTTGATTTTCAAACATTTCAGGATTGTTTAATTTAGAATTTTACTTTTTATTTTTAATAAATCAATATTTAATTTATTCAAAATTTAACAATTAAGAACTTCAATAAATAAAATTTAAGAGGTGTCATACATACGTTTTTATTTTCACATTAACCATTATATATTGTGATTACGTATAATTTTATTATGATGTGAAAAATGTTTATTTATTTTAACTTATAAAATATAAATAATTATCTCAAAAATCATATTTGAAACAATTCATCCTTACTTCATTTCTTAAACCTTAAATCAAATCACCTTATATTGATTGAACCAAAATCAATTAAAAAATCTTTCATTTCCTGATCAATTCAACCATAATCCAAAATTATTTAAAGTAAGCAAACAAAACCTAATAGCCATTACTACCAAATCCCCTAAACCAAACAACCATCACCTTTACTTAAAAAATCGATTGAATCACCATAATTGAAAACAAAAAAGTTGCCCATTTTAATTTTTTTTAACTTAAAATAGACCCAAAAAAAAAAAAAAAACCAACAAATCCCATAAGAAACAGTAGTTAAAAACCACAATCCAAGAGCAAGCATAAACAAAAAAAAAAAACAAACAAACAAAAAGGAAAACTAATGAGAAGGGGTTTTACTTTGAGGTGCCACAAGGTGTTTTAGAGCTTGAAATTTTTATGAGAATAAAGACTAGGGTAAGGGAAAGAACATATTTAGAGAATTGAAGGATTTGACTGACAGAAAATGACATTTCGGGGATTTAAAGTTGACATGTTTTGGCTTAAATCTAGAAGAATATAGAGATTTTTAATAGAGCTGATAATCTAAAATATAATATAGTGACACGATATGAAATTAATATGAATAAAAGATACTAAGATGATAGGATTTAAAGTTTTAACAAAAATCATAAATAAGTTTAACAAAACAAAATAAAATATATTTCATATTTTTTATCAACACGAACTTTGATACATAATTTTTGTGTAAAACACGACAAAAAGACATGGATTATTAGTATTTTACATTAAACGAGTAAACAAATAACCAAGTTTAGTTTTTAGGGAAATTTAATATGATATAAAGAAAGAAGAGGAAAATAAGAGTTTAGGGATGAATTTTGGAAGAATTTGGCATCAGCCAACAACGACCAACAACAATGAACAATGGTTAAACATACAATGCTAGAATCTAGGTTTAAGAGCGGTTGGTGATGGTGTTCTTATGATATTTTTAGTAAGAGAAAGAGTGAGGTAGAGACAAATAGTGATAGTGAAAATGAAATTAAAAAAATTATAAGGTAGCAAAATGTTGTGTTTTGACTTTTAAAGAAAATAAGAAATGGAAAAGAAAGAAAAAGGATAAAAAAAAAAGAAAGAAAAAAATTATAAAAGGAAAGAAATTTAATATGTGGCATATGATTTGGCAAAAAAATTACCTAGTTGGCGAGATTAGCAATGCATGTACAATGCCTTCTAGATTTCATCCATTAGTGTCATTAATTGTTAATGTTAGTTTCTTTGGTAAGATTATGATCTAAAAAGAGGGCAAATTGTATTTTTCTAAATTTTTTTTAAAAAAATAATTTTAATATAATTGAATGAAAATTAAAACCAATATCAAAATATGATGTAAATAATAATAAATTGATGAACTATAAGCAAATATAAATTATAATCAAAATAAAGAGATAGTGATAGAAAAATCAAACATAAGAATTTATAAAGATTAGGGTCTTTCTCCACAAGACACCAACGTCCTCTCTCTTGGTTGTCTATACCAAGTCTTCAATCCACTATTATTGAATTGAAATTATAACCTTATGTTTTTCTCTCTAAGGCTTAAGATAGAAACCTTACACTTTCTATTTTTTAAGCTAAGTAACAACCTTTTAATCTTCCAAATTCAAGAGGATACCTCACCTCTTGATTACAAAATTACTTAATAAAAATGTAAATTTAAAACATCGCTCAAAAGCTAAGTATTTGCCTAATGAAGTATAAAAAAATTTGATGAATGAACAACAACAAAAATTTGGATACAATAAATACAAACATGTAGACTTTTAAGCTCTAACAACTCTTGATTCTTTGAGAAAATGAAAATATAGCTTGTTGACTCTTGCTTTCTTGATTCATCGATCTTCCTAGTGTGTTGGAGTACCTAATTTATAGAAGAATTGATGAAATAGCCTTTGAGAATGCTTAGGAGAATAAAATAGCCATTGAAGCTTGATAAACTAGCCATTGAAGCTTGATAAACTAGCAGTTAGAGTTGTTTCAGGACCTATTCGATCAATCCCTTCCATGAGGGGATTGATTGGTTCAAGTTTTGGTGCCATTTTTCACTTGAAAAACATTACCCAATCAATCCATTCGATGAGAGGATTGATAGGTTCATGTTTTGAAAGCTAATTCACGCTTGAAAATACATAACCCGATCAATTCCTTTATGTAAAGGATCGATCCTATGAAGAGGGTGATCGATCCCTTATATAGGACGATTGATCCTTTCTTAAACCTGGAGCACAAAGATGCATTATGGTAAAAAATCGATCGATCCCTTCTCTAAGGGGATCGATCCTGTCAAAGCTATATGGTTATTTCCTATTTTGCACTATACTCGTTAATTTGATCATATCTTGAGTTATACAAATCTAAATCAAAAACCATTTGAAGATTTAGAAACTACACTTAAAGTGCTTTCTATCTATATAAAATTCATCACTTAATTCATTATGTACTAATTACAGTGAATTTTCAAATCTACCATTTATGTAGTTTTTAGACAACTACAAAATATCTAGTAAAAATAAAAAATCTTTTCTTAGAAAATTTAGATTTAGATTTTGTTTGATCCATTAAAAGTAGACTCAAAGAATTTTTCAACTATATAAAATTTAAATATTAAAACTTTGTGAATTAAAACAAAAAAATAAAACAAGTTCAATGTTGGAAAATTTTATTCTTGTAAAACAACTTTCTTAAGTTAATCTATTTCTCAAAACTAATATTATAAAATTGTATTAAATCCAAAATGAATAAGTTCACTTTAAAAACAACAATTCAACTTTCATTTAAGCTTGAATAAACAATCTTTAAAGATAGATTTAGTTTGAGAAATATGAAAACAAAGAAATGTTTGTTTATATTATGAAAAACATATTATTTATTTAATATAAAAATATAAAACTTAAGAACATATATTAAATAAATCTTTTTCAAAATTTTAATCAAGTTTATTTAGCTTAATGTTTTGTTATTTCAAAATAAAGATCAATTTAAGGTTCTGATACCAGTTTTCAAGATCAAGTGTTTATCACTACACCAAAAACTATAGCTGATAATGAAGACATAACTCTATTTTCTTATTATTTTTGGTAGCACAGAGCCCCGTACTAATCGACAAGTTGACATAAGGGCTTCGTAAAGCCTTTTTAAGGTACCTCACCCATTAAGCCTCAGTAGGTTGGGTTGTCATACACTAAAATTCGATATATCATGGGATACCTCATGTAGATAAACCAACATATTGAGTCCCTAAAAAAAATCACTAGATCCCATAATCCAATAATCTCCCCTTCAACGACACTTGAGGGACTCGAACCTACAACCTTGCTCTGATACCAATTTTTAGGATCAAACGCTTATTACTATACCAAAAGCTATAGCTGATAATGAAGGTGCAATTAATATTTCTTATTATTTTTGTAGTGCAGAGCCCCGTACTAAACGACAGGTGAACATAAAGGGATTCGCAAAGCCTTCTTGGGATACCTTATCCATTGGGTCTCGATAAGTTGGATTGTCACACACTGAAATTCGATCTACCATGGGATACCTCACATAAATGAATTGATATACCGAGTCTCTAAAGGAGACCCCTGGATCCCATAATCCAACAGTTAAATTCTGAATACATTAGATCATAATTCGTTAAAATTAAAAAATCACATCCTAAATTGAGTAATCCCACAAAAATTAAGATCATATTGAGCATTTAGCAAAAAATCTAACACTTTATCAATATACTACACAACTATTAGCACTTTTCACATAATTTATGGAAAAAACTAATTTTCTTTAATTTTCTTTTTTTTTCTAACAAAAAATTTTAGACTATACTAATTATAATACTTTTGAGTAAGTTTATTATCACGAGTCAAGTGATATAATATTTATAATTCAAAATAAAAGTAATAATAATAGTAATATAAACGAGTTAACTAGACCCCTTGAACCAAACAACCACCACACTTGCTCAATAAAACAATCGAACCACAATAATCGAAAACAAAAATACCCATTTTCATTATTTTTTCTTTTTTTCAACTTAAAAATGACCACAAAAAATAACAAATCCCATTATAAACAGCTTTTAAAAACTATAATCCAAGAACAAGCATAAGCAAAGAAAAAAAAAGATAAAAAGAAAAACTAATGAAGATGGGTTTTGATGCCATAAGGTGTTTTGTAGCTTGAAATTTGTTGAAGATAAAGGGTAGGCTAAGGGAAAGGACATATTCAAAGATTTAAGGGTTTTGACTGACAAAATAGGGCATTTCGAGAACTTGAAACGGACAAGTTTTGGCATAAATCTAGGAGAATCCAGAGGTTTTTAGGAAAATTTAATCTGATAGAAAGAAAGAAGAAGAAAACAAGAGTTGGTAGATGAATTTTGAAAGAATTTTGGCATCAGCCAACAATGGCCTGCAATAATGTGCGATGGTTCGATGGATAAACAATACTAGAATCTAGGTTTAAGAGGGGTTAGTCATGGTATTCTTATGATGTTTTGTTTTTAGTGAGAGAGGGTAAGGGTGTTCATAATTCGGTTTTAATCGAATTAACCAATCGAATCGATTTAATTTGATTAATCGGATGGTCATCAAATTAATTTCGATCGGTTAACAAAAATGATTTTAGAAGAATTTTGATTTTCGATTAATTTAGTTTGAAAACAGAATTGATCGAAATTTTAACCGAAATATAACATAATCCAAATAAAAATAAAAAATACATGAAATGGATCACTTAATTTCATAATTTATTAGAATTTTTAATATAATACTTTCGTATTTGAATATTTTATTGAATAATTTTATTTGATTTGTTTAAAATAGGATAAATTAAGAGTTTAAAATATAATTTAACTAAAATTCATTTATTGTACGGTTAAATAAAAAAATTAACTAAACTGACCGAATTAAATTCAGTTGGTTAATTTTCAAAATTCATAAATTTGATTCAGTTAACAAAAATAAAATAATATAAGTTAGTTGTTTCAATTTTGGATAATTTAGTTCAAAATTAACCGAACTGATTGAATAAACACCCCTAAGAGAACGAGTGAGGTAAAGACAAAGAGTGAGAGTGAAAATGAAAATGAAGTTAAAAAAATTATAAAGTAGCAAAATGTTGTGTTTTGACTTTTAAAGAAAATAAGAAAGGAAAAAGAAAGAAAAAGAATAAAAAAGGAAGGGAAGAAGAAAACTATAAAAGGAAATAAATTTAATACGTTGCGTATGATTTTGCAAAAAAATTACCTAGTTGGTAAGGCTAACAATGTGTGCACAATACATTTTAGTTTCCATATCAGTGTCTTTAATTGTTAGATTTCGTATATATTAGATCATGATTTGTTAAAATTAAAAAGTTACGTCTTGAATTACGTAATCCTATAAAAATTAGAAATCAATTTAAGCGTTTAGTAAAAATCTAACATTCTATCAATATATTACACAACTATTAGCACTTTTCACATAAATTACTAGAAAAAACAATTTTCTTTAATTTTATCCTTTTTTTGACAAAAAAAAAAAAGGTTAGCCTATGCTAATGATAACACTATTGAGTGAGTTTATTGTCATGAGTTAAGTGATATAAATTTATTTTAAAATATTATTTAAAATTCAAAATAAAGTAATAATAGCAATGTAAAAGAATTAATTACATTTTTGGTAGCAAAACTTTAGAAAAATGTATAAATTGGTATCTAATAAAATAAATATACAATTTGGACCCTAAATATTCAAATGATATATCATTTTAATCTAATTTTAGTATTGTTAACATAACTCATTTATATAGTATTTAACTAGTATAAATTTGTTATACGTATATTATTTGCTAAATCAAAATGTTAAATATTTTGTAAAAACCTTTATGTGGATGCTATTGACCAAAAATGATTAACCAATCCTAGACAATTTTTATGGTTTAGGTAAAAAATATATATTTAATTTATATTGCAAAAAGCTGCTGATAGTATGTTTGGTGAACATATAACTTGATAATATTTATCAAATGTCACATATATAAACTAATATGATTAGCGAGATTAAAGTTTAAATTAATATGATACATAATTTAAAAGTTTAGGGTGCAACTTGTGCATTTTTTGAAAGTTTAAGGTGCAAATTGTACATTTTATTTTTTTAGGTAATAATTTGTATATTTTCTCAAAATTCAGGTATAAAAATTATAATTAATTCTGATAGAGTTAATTATTTTTATTTTCAAAATGATTTAATTACATTTTTGGTTCCTAAATTTTAGAAAAATGTACAAATTGATACCTAAAGAAATAAAAATTAGAATTTGCATCCTAAACTTTCATAAAATACATAATTTGCATCCTAAACTTTCAAATTATGTATCATGTTAACGTAAACTATAATTTCATTAATCATATCAACTTCTATATGTGTTATTTGATAAATATTATCAAATTATTTATTCACCACACATGTTATAAACATTTTTCAATAAAAAGATCTAAATAGTATATATTTTTTACCTGAACCATAAAAATTGTTTAAAAGATTGGTCAATTATTATTTGTCATGTGATATCCATATGGTATTTTTACAAAATATTTAAAAATTAATATACTATATAGGCAAGTTAAATTAACAGTATTATAATTTGGATTAAAATGTACATTATTTAAAAGTTCAAAGTGTAAATTATATATTTTAGTTATTTAGTTATCAATTTATACATTTTTTCAAAATTTAGATACTAAAAGCATAATTAACTATTTTCCAAAATATACTATTTCTATTGTTAATGGTAAAAAAAAAAAGGTATTTTATTTTCATATTAAGCGCACATTCCATCCACATCCACTACCTTTTTTTTTTTTTTTTTCATTAACTTAAACATAATTTTTTTTCCCACTTTCAACAATAATGCTAAATTGTAATTTAAGCACATGTTCCACCCGCTACCGTATTCTAGCGAGATAAAGCCCCACTTCTCTCTTATCTCTACTTTTTTTTTTTCATTAAAACATTGGAAAATAAACATTAATGAAATGTTTATTAACCACCCTTTAGAATATTTTAGTGCTCACTTAACTTATATGTTAAAGTTTAGGAGCAGTATAAAGTTTGTTTGCATGATAATATTTGGTACAAGATGTACAAGAATATCATTAAAGGGAAGTTAGTAATGGAAGCATATCATATATAATTAATCAATCGAAATTTAATATTATATGAGATTTATAAAAAAATTGTATAAAACACATACTTTTAAATGATAATTTTTACATAATTATTTATTATGATTGATTAATAATAAAATTAATTATAATAGAAATAATTGTGCATAAAATGCTTCCAGTTAATAATAGACTTATATAAACTGGTGGCCGGTGGTATTGGTTGAAATCTCCTACTCAAATTCTAATTGTAACTCAAAAAATTAAAAGGGCTTATCATTTCATCCAATAAATAATTTACTTTTGCTAAAAAATTAATTCCAATAAATGTTTAAAACTATTAAAATATTAACAATAACTTTAATTATAAAATTTAATATTAGGCCACAAAAAATGTAAAATTTTATGGGTGGGTCCAGAAGTATAGGCACAAAATAAGCCCCGCCCGAGCTAAACCAGGTCGGCATGCCTAATAGACAACTCCACGGTCTTAGTTGTGCCTGTTCCATCCATTTGGCAGAAGGCCAGATTAATCATAGCTAGGACCTTGGTTGCATTCAACTTTATAACTTAAAGCAAAGCAATTAGGGACAACAATGACACTGAAACAGGACAAACGGAACATATTAATTAATAATAGCATCATTCATACTAAGTTCTGTTAAACATCAATTCAAAGATTATCCTTTTTCTCAATTCATAAGAAAACAGAACAAGACAAACACAAGAACAATCACATTTAAGGTCAAATACTAAGACTGATTGGATAGTGGCACAACTTCATCAGTCCAAGCCTCTAAAGGAGCTACCACCACAGTCCAAGAGGCCCATCACACCGAATAGGGTTCATGATATTTTAGATTAAGAGCTTCTCAATTGCATCCTGCATTTCACAATTGCAAAACATAAGATGTAGGAGCAAATTTAGCCACAACAAATGCAAAACCATAACTTTTATAATGTAACAGACTATATTAGAAAGAAAAGTACCTTGAGCTGTTGTATTTGGGATTTCAATTGGCTTCCTTCGTTTGTTGTGACAGAGCATGCAATTACAGGTCTTGTGACCCCACATGCTCGGCCGAGTGCTTGCTTTGAAGGAACAAATACATAGGGGACATTCTGCAAAATTCAAAAACATAGGTTATTATAGTGATTCTGTAATCCTTCAACAAAAGCCACGGGAAAATAGAAAATTTAGCAGCTGATCCTAGAGATTTTTGCTCCATGGAAAGGAATCAAGGAGTGGTTGTTGAAAATTTGCTTCCATAATAAACTTTACTTTGAGCTATAAACCATCAAGATGTGTGAAAGGAATGCACCATAGCTCAAGAGTGCAAAACGTTTCATACAAAACAAAGTGCCATAATGTTATGTAAATTCTCTTTTTTTCTTTTTGTCTCTAAGCCTATGTTGCTGATATTTTCGCAGTAGAATCAGAGTTTCAAATTCATAGCTAGGGACGTAGTTAATTTGAAGCAATAAAACCATATATGTTCCCAAATCAAGACAATTTGCCAAAAAACTCTCCCAAAGCTAAATATTTACAACAGTGATATGACTTATTAACACACAAACACTGCTGTGAAGAACAACACATTAGACAGCCACCAGCATATCAACCATAAATGCATAACAAGCAAAGGTACTGGTTAAAATTAAAAGGAGAAAAAGCTCCAAAAATGCTCAAAATTCCATGTTTTCATATAGTTTTATGGAGAAAAAAAAAACCACAAGCCTTTTCAGTAATTTACTGCAAATCAGGCAATTAAAAGCCAGAATCAGAACATGATATAGTGGCTGCCTCCTATTATTATGCGATATAACAAATTAAATACAAACACACTTTCATTAGTGCAGGCGAGGACAAAACGATATTCCATCAAATTCAAACAAGCATCTCCATCTTGCCTAACTTTGTATTCACAACAAAACTATAAGTAACAATTAACATGCCACTTATTTATTACTACTCTGCCAGTTTAAATCCTCAAATATTCAATATTAAACCAATCCAATTGAATTAAGAAAATAAACGGAAATATCGGAAAAAATCCATAAACAAATTACCTTGTCCTCAGCAAGCAAAGGAAGATGCAGCAGAATCTCAAGGGGCTCAGTATCCGCAGCCATCACAACGAACTCCGAGATACCTCGGTTCAGGGTCTTAGTAGCTGTATCCCAACAAGCCAAATTAAAGGATTAAAAGGAAAATGAAGAAAACCCATATCAGAAATAATAACAATAATTACAATTACAAACAAATCTGAAAATGGGTATTGTTCCTAACCTTCATTAGCTCCCTTTTTGAGCTGCTTGTAGTTGGCAGCTTGTTGAACAAGATCCAAAATCGTGGTCGTTAACTGAGCATCTGCTAGTGGGTATGCTTTGGGATTCACTGGTTCTCCCGTCTGCAAAAATATTAGCCAATAGTAAATATAATGCAAAGATAAAATCACTTTGGTTTAGCAAATATTAGACCACCAGATAAAGAGAGAGACGTAGAGTACCATATTGGTTAAGAGAGACGGCTAGGCAGAGAGGTGGAAAGGGAGGCTAGGGTTTTTATTCGAGAAAATAATTTAGGGTTTGAAAGAGGAGCTACTACTAAGATCGCCCAGATTATTTATAGGATGTTCAACTCGGATCGAGTCCTATGGCTATGGGTCCGACCGCATTTTTCTCCTTGGTTTTAATTTGTCTTAATTTGTCTTTACCACTTCAAGTTTCTTTTTTTTTTTTTTTTTAACCAAGACTTCAAGTTCAAGTCTATTTTTTTTTAATCAGAAGAAACTATTTAAACTAATAAATTGTCTATTCATTTTGGTTTCAAAGTGAAATTATAATTGTTAATTTTTTTACATTTAAGGTGATTAAAATTAAATTTTAATTATCAAAATTAATCATCCAATACAATATCAACAAAATACACTATTGTTGATAAATTTAAATTACTCATTTATAAAATCCTTTCTTCATTTTTATTATGTCTATTTATTCGATCAACATAAATAATTTTTTCAAAGCATCCAGTCAACTTAAACCAAATTATTATGTCACTTCATTATAAACTTGACTCGTATCTCGTTAAGAACTTACTCATTTAATATTTATACTAATATTTTATCAAAACATCATTTTAAAATTAATTATTTGATTTTTAATTTATTTAAAATTATTAAATGTAATATACATTTATTTAAAATCATTAAATGTAATGCAATCACTCATATATATATTCTCATATAATTTTATATAAATTTATTATCAACTATTAATTATTTCAATTAAACCTTCATCTTTTATTTCATATATAGAGTAAAGAGAGATCTAAGAAAGTAAAAGCTAATACTTAAGCACTTTCCTTCCATTGAAGCTTCTTTTGCATTCATCACCTTCATCTTTTCCTCCAATCTTAAATATCTCATTGATATGAGCATAAAATGCATATCGAAGAATCAACTCGACACATCATAATTGTATTTTTTAACTACAAGTTCAAGTCATTTCACTTTTAACTTCTCGTTAACTTCTTTTAGTTAAGACTCCAAAAAATAGCATCAATAATTTTACTTGAAATTACAAAATTTTGGTTAAAATTTTCATATAATTAAACTCTTTAAAAATAGTTACTTGCCCAAAATTCAATAAACTATTATGGTCAAAATAAGTTGTAGATATAAAGATAGATATTCTTGTATGTAAAAAATAATAAACTAAATTGGATCATTTTTTTTCATGGGTTGACCCAAGAATATTTTGATCCATTGTGCCATAGAATCAAGGTAGACAAAATGTCATGCATGAAGATCGATCCGACCCAAATCAGACCAGCCCAGTTGTTTTTCAGATAATCCAAATCCAAGTCGAGGCCCATTATACTACTATACAATAACCCAATAAGCACGACCCTTGGAAAAAAAAAAAAAAGTCACGAACACTTCAATTCCGTCTGTACAAATGCAATTCGGTTAGTTCTATCTGCATCGGACGTGGCGCAACAGGATTGAAACCGCCACATCACTGAAACTCTTTTTTCAAAGTCTAAAAGTCTAAACGTCGAAGGTCAGGTCAAAACAGAAACACCGAACTCATTTCAAAATTTGTTTTTTTTTTTTTATTTCTTTTTCATATAAATTGCAGGGCGTTTCGTTGATCGTAAAAAAGGAGAGCATTGATTTCGAATGGGATGGATTGAAGAAAAGATGAAATCTACTCAGATTAGGCAAACGCTGTATCAAGCCATTAGCCTCGGTCCGTTCCTCGTTCTCTCAATTTCTCGAAACCTTTGATACTTCAAATATTTCCCCGGAAAATTGACGGTTTTAATTAAGTATTGCTTAGGAATGGTTATTGCATCGGCACTGATGATATGGAAAGGACTGATTTGCATTACTGGAAGCGAGTCGCCGATTGTGGTCGTGCTCAGTGGGAGTATGGAACCTGGTTTCAAACGAGTGAGTATGGAACATGCATTTTCAAAATTTTTTCTTTTAATTTCGAGTTTTGATTTTTGATCGTTAAAGAATTTAATTTAAAGTTAAATTTATGTAATGCAGGGAGATATATTGTTCCTATACATGAACAAAGATCCTATTCGTGCAGGAGAAATCGTCGTCTTCAATGATGTATGTCATATTCTTTATTTCTGCTATTTTTTTGAATTAATCTTAAAATTTTTTTCTCTATTCTTTCTTTTTCACATCCTAGTTGACCAAATGTAGAACTTTTTTCATGTTTGTTCGGACTTCGGAGTACTTATTTTCGCTAATTCATCTTTTCTATAGGGACGTGATGTTCCAATTGTTCATCGAGTGATTGAGGTTAGATCCTGTTGAGGTTTTATGTTTGTTGTATTTCTCTGTGTCTGTTTTTACTTAAATAAATGAAGAAAACAAAGAGTTGTCCGGATGTGAATCATGTTTTTCTTCAGAAAATAGTCCAAATGTAACTATGGACTTTTCAAGGTTTGCCAAATGTTACGTGGTCTCTGAGTATTTGTTTCATTTTCTTGGTTGACTGAGAATAAACAAGAAACCAAAGTAAAAACAGGAAACAATCTAGTTTCTAGAGAGGAGGGCACATCATACTGGCATCCAATAGTCATCATCCTAAGTGATCAGTCTAATAACTTTGTTTCTGCTTTAGTTTCTGTGTATATTTTGGTATTTGGTGTTTCTCTCAAGGATGCTAGTAATTGGCTGAAGATATGTGGTCTTGGCTTGTCTGTTTTAAATGATGACAGATTGAAATGCTTGATTGTCAAGTGTGAAACAGAAGCTTATCATATTCTGAAATAGAAAAGTCTCTAAAAGCAAATAGTTTTGATAGATTTGACACTACAGTGAATTTTTGGAGTCTTATGCACGAACTTTGTATACTACTACCTTGTCGTGATTAAATATTTTCTATCTCAACATCCTAACATTTATATATGTGCTATGGCTGTAAATTACATGAATTAAACGGTGCCCACCAGGTTATTTTGTATAGGAGATTCATTATCTTTGCATGTTTGGTTATGCTTTGTCAGGTTCATGAGCAGCATGGTTCCAAAGAAGCTGATATACTCACAAAAGGTACCATATTCTTGAATCTTGATAAGAACGCAGTTGAATGTGAGCAAATACAAGTTGCGATATTTTTTAAGTACTCTATTATTATCAGGAGTAAAAGTATTCTGGTAACTCTCTTTCCTCATAAATGAAGCAGAGTGTGCAGACTTGCATATAGTTTTGTTTGCTTACATAGGAAATGGTCCTAAATACATTCCAAGTTCTTTTCATTTTTTGTTTTTCTCATGGCTGCTCTCTTAAATATCTTCATAAATTCAGTCACTACTTGAGAGTCTACTAACCTTTTTAATTTCTTGACTGGACACTTTCATCAGGAGATGCTAATGATATGGATGACAGGATTTTGTACACATCTAGTCAACGTTGGTTGCAACAAAAATACATCATGGGCAGAGCTGTTGGGTAATTCAACACCTATCTATTCTCAAAATGTTGGTTAGTTTTAGAAGTGAAAACATTTGTACTCAATGATTAGGAATTTCTTGTGTTCACCGTTTCTGTTACATTGAAGTCAAGTTTACAAGTTTATCATTCTTGATTTGTCAAAATAGTGTAAGTTGGATGGGTGTTTTGGCATATGCTATTTTTTTCAGAATGATAAGTATATAAAAATAATGAAATTCTCAAAGCATGTGAAAATTTGTGAATAAGAATTTAGCAAACTGAACTATCTCCTCCATATTTGTCAACTTTGAATTGTTTATGCCAGTTTATCTTATCATGTGTCCCTGTCAGTTTAGCACTTGTCAAATTATCCCCGCAGACAGGTTAGACCAAGAGTAAGCACAACTGCTTTTTCTTTCAGGGACTATCTGCATTTCTTTGCCAATATTAAGGCAAAGATTATGTCCAGTGTCATGAATTTTCTGTTTATATGCCCGGCACACTTAATTTGTTAAAAGTAGCTTAAGTCAAAATGTCTTTGTGCATTAGTAACGAAAAGTGAATTCATAAACATATAAATAACTGAAACTTTCAAAGCATGTTTGCCTCCTTGAAATTCTTATTGAACAAAATTAAGGAGTTCATCGTTAGTTGTCAGTTGTTGGTTGTCTATCCCAACTTGCTCATTATAATTTCTTGTTCATCTTGGCAATTGTCAAATTATACTTGAAGGCAGGTTTGATCGAGAATAATCATGAACTTGGGTTAAAGAGTGACATTTTGGCAGAGCCTTTTTACTACTTAGGTTTATGCCAAAAGCACCACCATACCTCCACCGCTAAAAGATGTGTCTTTACTATACAGGTTCTTGCCTTACGTTGGCTGGGTGACAATTATCATGACAGACAAGCCTATAATCAAGGTATGAAATTGTTTGAATTTTAAAGTTTTCATGCAAAGTATTTTTTAAAGCCTTTGTAATCTTGTGTTGTCTACACTGCCGCAGACAACTAAAACAAGGCTAAGGTTTTCACAGCCGGTGCATTTCTTTTAACTTCATATTTTGTTTTGGACAATGCTACATACTCATATTTCATATACAAATTATACACATGCATCATTTTTTTTTCTTTCAAGTTTTATTTTTTTTCAAATTTAAACTGTGTGGTCAAATTTTTTTATGTAAGAAATTTGTGTAGTTATTTTGTGTATATAATGTTTTCTTTATCTTGTTGCAGTACATACTTTTAAGCGCATTGGGATTGCTGGTCATAACCTCAAAGGAGCAAGGACAAGCTTAAGATTTGAGACATGATTGTAAAACACCAATTTCCTATGCAGAAGTGAGAAGAGTGGGAAGCAAAATCTAGACATTAGACTTTCATTTTTGTTAAAGAGAACCGGGAGAGAAGATTTTCCCGGTACTATAGTCCGTGGTTGTGTACGAATGATAATAATAAATATCACTAATATTATTTTGGTACAATAATAATAAAGATATGCTACAATTTATTTGCACATTTGACAGTTGCAGCTATATATAAATTAGGATATTATTGAAGTACTGGTTGAAATCTGATATCAGATGAGTATTGTGAGGAACACTTTCCCATGGATAACTGAATGAGTGAATGGCATATTCTTGCATAAAGCAGATTTAAGCATCATATTTGCTGTTCCAGAGGAGGGTTAGGGATGTATAAGTTTCCAAACCCTATGGAAAGGGTCTCTCTTCTGTGGCAGAGCAAGAAAGTTTTGTCCAAGTTCCAACCTATCCAAAAATAAAGTAATCATGGCCTTTGAGGAACATTAAGGGAAATGTACTTCAAGCCTTCAGCATTAGGGGTGTAAATGATTGAAGTATTTGATGAACAATTTGTGAATATATTCGAATTCTGTTTGTTTATTAAGTTTAATAAAAAAACACAAACAACGAACAGATCGACACCATAATAAAGTTCATCATGCTCAGTGTTTACACCCTTGGTCAACTCTAGTTGAACTCTGCTTATGCTTGAACCAGAGAACTCAATCATCAAATTCAGCAACAAGTACTCCTGTTCGACTCAAGCATCAAGCAATAAATATGTGATTGAAGCATAGATAAGGTTGCTTTAAGATCTGATATATATGTTATTGAAGCATAAATAAGGTTGCCATACACCAAAAAGCAGAAGGGCTCGACATAACATATCATCTGAAATATTCCATGTTTATGGTCACACTTTGTGTTTAAATTGATACATATACAGCGAGAAAAACCATACACGATACGTTCTATAAAAGCCTTAAAAACAGAAAGAAAAAGAACATAAAGAAAGAAATAAATGCTACATGAATATGGGAAGTATTTCAATTCAAGCCCTCAAGGAGCCAAATTCAAACTTCTGCAGCAAATCATAATGTGATGTCTCATGAATAAAACCCCACTTCTGCCTCAGCAGCTCAACATGCCCTTCAACCCTCAAACGATCAGGATTATTAATATAATTATATAGTTTATTAATATAATAATTATATTAGGGGTTAAATGGGGAAAAGGGTATGAGCTAATTAGGGTTCATAAGATACTGATAGTGAAATCGAGGAACTGATTTGGATGGAAATTTAGGGTTTCACTATTTGGAGGAAATATTATTGTAAGTAACGTATAGAAGAGGTTTTTATTTTTATTTTCTTTTAATTACAAAATAAATATTCAGTGGTCAATGGGATCGAGACTTCGGCTGGTTTCGAACTGAAGCTTAGTACTTTGGGCCAGAACCTTGGGTATGTATTTTTGAAACAGTACAAAGTAAAAGAGCAGTAGCGGCAAAAGGCGCTTTTCTCAACTGGTTTTACCATTTCTACGTTAGGTTCCAAAAGGCTAAACCAAAGCCAAGCTTAGCAGTTAGCACGATAGCAAAGCAAAATGCAGATGGAGGTTGAGAGCCAGAAGTCTTTTCAAGTAAACCTGGGAAATCTCTCGGCTTTTAACCCTTTTCACAACTTTCCTTCTTTCCCCACTTCCAGGTTTACCCATTTGTCCGCGAGAAAATCTTTGTCAAAACAAAAGAGAAGACAAAGCTAAGAAAACACTGACGAGAGAAAAATCACAGATATTTAATTGTTATAAAAACATTTTTAACCTTCAAATCATAATAAATGTCAAAGCTTATTTGGCTTTAAATTGGAAACCAGGGGGCAATTTTAATAGATTGCATAGATATTTGGCATTAGATTTATAGTTAAAATTCTTAATTTAGTACTTAAAAATTTAAAAATTCATAACTAGATATTCGAATTTTGTGTCCACTGATCATTGGATCAGTCGACACGTTGAATCTAACATTTGGAATTTGCCAGTTTAAAAGAACTTATACTTTGAACTTATATTGGAAGGTTGCAAATTCGAAAGAACTTGTATGCATAATATCCTCTAGAGGTAAACTAAGAATTTAAAAAAAAAAAAAAATTGAACCTTGTTTCAGCTACCAATTTGTACATGACTTAATACTGCTAATCAGATGTATAAAAAAAAATAACAAAAATATGCCAAAACATCCGCCTAACAGGTTTAACAAGAAACATTCAGAACGCCGCATCTTAATTGCAACAACGTGAAGTCATTAACTACAACATGTAAACATTAAAAAGGTTAAATCACATAATTGTCTTTCATCTACTAAGGCATAGATCACAATGATACCAACATCGCATCGACACATTTGAGAAAATAGAAGCCAAAAAAATCAGTTGATAAAATTGAATATTGAAAAGAAAACAGATTTTTTTTTATCTTTGAATTACCATCCTACCAAGAGCAAGATAAAAGCAAACAAACACCTACAATTGTGTAAAAAGCCTAAGTGCCTTAACCAATACCATGGCATTAAGAACTGACCATCAGAAACTAACAAACAAACTTCTTTCAAGTTTCAACTCTGCTCTTCTCCATCCACAGCATCTCTCTCTTCAGCAGAAGCTGCCATTAGTTCATCAAAATTTTCTGTCTTCCCCAGTACTATCTCAATCTGAGAAGGAAAGTAAATGCGCATCTATCAATACTCACTCTAAGAAGAAGAACAAAACTGAGCATTACAATGACCATAACATTATGGTTAAATAAGCACCAATAACAGGGAATGTTTAATTTATGGAAAGTTTAATAGTGAATTTCCATAGATTACTTATAGAGTTTAACTTTACCTGGAGAGGGCAAATGTATCTCAGCTTGCAAATATGTTTTTGCATAAACCATGACATATCCAACAGGAAGAACGAAGAGCAATTAAGTTGATTTACCTTTGCTTTTTGGACAGGCCGCCCTCTAGAGTCATCCTTCATGTCAACTGTTGAGGTCATGATCTCTGCAGAGGTGCAGGTTGATTCCCATGATTATCAGGACTCAATGGTTACATTAACACATTTTTTTTAGGCACATATAAAAGTGGAAGACATCTTACTCTTCTCAACTGCCAAACCATTGTTTTTCAGAATTTCTGCAATTGTGATGACCGTTGCAATAGCTGCACTAAGACATGACCAATAAAAATAATGATTTACCGCAATTCTCAAAATGTAGCATGCATAATTGATTTTAGGTTCAATGAATAATTAGTTAAGGAAATAAATCATAAGCAGCAGTACCAGAAAAATTAAGTCACAAACATTTTGCACTTGAGAAAGACAATGCAGAAAAAAGCTTTAGAGCATCTTCACTACACAATCTCCCCACTTAAACGAATAAAACAAACAACCTAACGATAAGGCCTAAGCCAAAGTAACGGGAAGAGTGACCAGACTATTTGAGATATCTGGCACCAGTGCCTTCAGGGAAATTATAATTATAATTTGTAGAGAAAATGCAGAACCACACAGCTATTCCTTTAGAGTATAACCTACTGAGAAACTTTAATAGAAAAGGAAAGCTCATATCTGGGAATAGTTCATTAACATTCAGATCTGAAAAAAAAATGTAAATTGAAATAGAAGTAATAAAAATAAAGAACTGAAGAAGAAAACAGTACCCATGCCAAGGGCAGACAGCTCCACCTCATTGTGCTGTTGCATATATCTCTACAAATAAAAAGAGAAAAAAGGTTATCCTATCAATGTAATAGCAAAGAATTTAATCCTCTCAGTCGCAGCTAACAAACAGCTAAAAACGCTCAATCCCTAATAGTTAAAAAAAAATCCAGTAGGAAAAAAGAACTAAAACCCACAAAATTTTTAGCGGTGTTATTCAAATGCAGAACCTTAATTTCACAGAACATGATGTAAAATTCAATAAAGGAAAAAAAATAAAAAGAACAGGAAGATTTGGGGAAGAAAAGAGGGAAAAAAAAAGGAGAAACCTTGGCGAGATTAACATAGAAAAACAAGGGTTTTTTGGTATTGGAGACTTGAATTCGGTTCTTCTTTTGGGAATCGGCGCCCAAATTCATGTTGTTGACTCCTTGGGTGATTTCTTCCATTTCAAGACCTTTGCTACTCAAAGCCTAACCCAGACCCCCAAAAACTCTGTCTCCGTCTGCCAATTGGATGAAATGCGTGGAGTAGTAGTCAAGTGAAACACAGCAGAGCAGAGAGCGAAACAAATTAATTGCAAGTTTTCTAAGCTATGTTTGTGGTGATGGCCAATTGACTGGCTAGGGTTTCTCACTTTCTTCGGAACTGACCTTCAAAAATAAAAAGGTAACCGTAATATAGTAATAATTTTAATAATATTTTTTATTAACTTTGAAGGTTAATAATATTATATATTATTTTATAAATGTAATTAAACCACATCAAATTAAAGATAATCCGAACCAAGAATGTGAAATAAAAAAATTCAAAAAAATATAAAATGAATTTGGATTTTGGTGTTGATGTTTTCTATTTCATATTTTGCACAAATCAACTAAACTATTAAAAAATAAAACATATATCAATCTATTAATTAAAAAAATTATATTGACAAATACTAACTTTTATAAAAAAAAAAATTCACCAAAAGCACTGTAAAAGAAATTTTAAAAATCCTCGAACCCAAACAAAGCTAGGAGTCCGGTTTACAAGCCCACAAAAGTTTAGTTAATTTGGTATTTGACCGTATAACAGCTTTGGTTGAGACCAAGCATAAGCTTAAAATTTACCGCATTTTAAATACAATGCGATTGAATATATCACGTCATTAATTAAATTTAAATATCATTTTTAATAAAATTTATCTAACATAAAATTTTTATTAAAATTTTTTTCAATCACAAATATAATAACTTTTGTTATTATTTTAAATATTATCGAAATCAATTTTAATACTAATTCAAATAGAATCTAACTAAAAATCATAGAGCCACTTAAACCTGGGAAGGGGATGGTTGGATGCTCATTCTATTAAAGCATTTCACAAATTGTTGGCTTATCAATTAAATTACACAGCAAACATGATTCCAACATCTAGCCAGCCAATATAAAGTATATAAATTGGTCAATTTTTCAGTACAAAAGATGACCAACAAACATGGCAGTCATCTGGTTTTGAACATCAACTGGAATATGCTAAACCCATAAAAGTCTGAAATCTGATGACAGTTCATCATGCCTATCTCCAACCTATGCTTGGGTTGGTCTTCAACAGCTATTGCATTCCAAACTATTCATATAACATGCCTATCAAATGAAGCCATGAACAAGGAGGGATGCAAATCTAGTCCCAGCCACTGGCAACAACCGATCCAAAACTATATGCATATTCATGTGGCGCAGCAGGATAGAGATTTGCATTACTTGCAACCAAATAATCAGCATTAGCAGATAACGTGTAAGGATCAGCATAGAAGTCAGCACCGCCAAGAAAAGTTTGAGCATTAGCACTAGCAGCAACATAATAACCACCAATGGCAGGTACAGCGTTAGCATCATTATAAGTGCTTGAATAGTAACTACTCTCATTCCCAGATGCAATGCCTTTTCGGAAATCATAACCACCAAAATTGCCTGCAGCGTGTTTAGCCCAACCACCACCACCACCACCACTAAAGGAGGAATTCTCAGCATATTCGATTAGCCAAGATGGCACTTCCTGATTTGATTCCTTCATTAATTCAGTCAATGGCTTTGCAAGTGGCAAGTTCTTGTCACTGAAGAATGCGGTAGCCAGGCCATATTTCCCAGCACGGCCTGTTCGCCCTATCCTGTGCACATAGTCATCTATGTTTTTTGGCAAATCAAAATTAATAACATGTGCTACATGAGGGATATCAAGTCCTCGTGAAGCAACATCTGTAGCAACTAAAATTGGAGTAGCACCACTTTTAAAGGATCTCAGAGCGTGCTCTCTTTCCTACAAATTTGGTAAGTAAACAAATTTTTACAAAGGAGGCAGCAATAAAGAAATATATCTAAATGAGAATGTTAAACTTACAATTGCTTCGGTTTGTTCTTCCCCCTTGAGGTAAAAACAATCATATGATGATCAAAATTAGTTATCCAATAATTGAATATTATGCTTCTAAATACAAACTATTAACACAGAAAGAATTATTTTTTCCTATTATGATGACTGTTTAACTCCAAGGACTAGACAGCAGAACATATTTTATTAACTATAGGCATATTAAGATTGCAATATCACAATAAAGCAAGGGAAATAATATAGTAGCAAGCTAACCATCTGAACTTTGTCACCATGTATTGCAATTGCCGGAAAACCATACATTGACAACCAGCGTTCCAACTCATTTGCACCTCTCCTTGTCTCCACAAAAACTAGAGTTAGAGCATGCTGCAAAAACATTAAGTAGGATCTCTTTATCAGCATGTTTATATACATAGGAATTCATTGGTGGCAAAAATCTAAGCCTGCAGATGGATATCTGTCGGGACCCAAGGATACCAGCGATGATGACTTTACGATGATGATGACATGAACCATTATATAACATACCTAACATGTTATATAAAGGCAGAGAAGCACACCAATTGAATTAGAAGAAACTAATTGCACCTTAATACAGGTTCCATTGGACTTTTGAGAACGAAGAAGATCCAAAAGATGGTTTCTTTTGTCAATCTCCTGAACTAATTCAACTCTCTGGACAATCAAATCAGTGCTTGAACCAACCCTTCCAACAGCCAGAAATACATAGTCTGAAAGGAAATCAGAAGCAAGTCTCTGCAAAACAAAATTAAGGAGTTCACAGGAAGCAAACAAGAACGTTGAAATGTAGGTTGCGTGAACACAAAAATTTACGAGTTAGGCTAAACCAGAACACAGATGCATTATCAACCTCCAGAGGCTCGTATTCTGATATCACACAACAATAAGTATTGAGATCTTAGCCAAGAAAGGATAAGGGACATGAAGGCAAAGAATCGAAACCTGTATCTCATCAGGAAACGTAGCACTGAAAAGCATTGTCTGCCTTGTTCCAGGTGGAGGCATGTCCATTTTCTCGACAATCTTACGAATCTGAGGCTCAAAGCCCATATCCAACATTCGGTCTGCCTCATCTAAGGCTAGATACTTTATCATTCCAAGAGAAAGTTTTGCTCTCTCAATCATATCCACCAATCGTCCAGGAGTAGCAACTAATATGTCAACACCTTTTTCTAAGTTGCGTAACTGAAAAAAACAACATTGCAGCCAATGCACATTAGATCATACAGAATGCTTGAATTGCACAATCTATAGAAACGGGAAATGTGCAGAAAAGTCGTTGATGATAACCAAACTGAACACTACATCAAAGAGTGCCAAAAAGCTATTCTATAGAAAGTCATTAAAAATTTTTAATTGATGTAAAAGAATAATATCAAGACTCAAGAGAAAAATAAAAAAGAAAGACCAAAGCAAGTAGTTTCAGGTCATAATGAATGATCACTCAATATTCAAAAGTAACATCCAGCAATGAAGCTAAGCCAAATAATACCTGCTGAGAAATAGGCTTCCCTCCATATGCAACAACGATTTTAACCCCAGTCCTATAAGCAAACTTTTTTGCCTCCTCGTGTATCTAATCACCATTCGCAAACCAAACAAACCAAACCAAATAACTATAAATGTAATTACTTGTAATAATAATAATAAAAAAACCCAATATTCCACCCACTCCGAGTAGGAAAGAGATAAAAGAAAAAGCAAAGATCACCTGACAAGACAACTCTCTGGTAGGAGCCAAAATAAGAGCAAGGGGACACGCCACCGGTCTTCCATCACGACAAGCAAGCAACAACTGATCCTTCAGAACCCCACAAATAATAGGAAAACAGAATGCAGCCGTTTTACCTGACCCAGTTTGTGCACAAGCCATCAAATCCCGACCCGCAACCGCTATAGGAATCGCATGGCGTTGGATTGGAGTTGGCTTCAGATACTTGCACTTCCTTATGTTTTGCTTCAAACCATCCCCCAAATCGATCTCCGCGAAGGTCTCCACCGGCGGTGGTATGTTCTCGCCGCTTGCTTGCACCGGAATATCCTCATAGGCGTCGAAGTTGGTTTCGTTTGTTTCTTCTGACGTGTCATCAATGACCTCTAACTCATCGAACTTTTCATCTTCCCAGTTTGGGTTTCGGCGGTTGGTAAACCGGGGTCCACTGCCGCGGGTGGTTCGAGCAGGTTGAGGCAAGTTGAAACGGCTGAAACGTGGGCGAGTTAACTCAGCGGCGCCAGTATCAGGAGATACAACATTAGCATTTTGGGGTCTCAACTGCGGAGGGAGGTAGCGGGGTCTGGTTGGGCGAGCTAGTTTCCTAGTTGACTCAGTAAACATATCACTCCGGGTCTTTTTTTTTTTTTGTTTCTTTTCCCTTCCAGTTGAAAGCTTGAAGAAACAAAACCGAGCAAAAACTAAAAACCACTAAAAAAACACCTATCAAAGAAAAGCAAACGCAGAGAAACGTGATGAAACGAAAAGGGTTTCGGTTTTATGGGTATTGACAAAAGAAAACGAAGAGTCTGTTGAGTATATATAGGTGTAGTAAGAAAGCGTAGAAAAACGAGATGTTCGCTGTTTCTCTATTTCTTTCCCATTCAACGATCAAACAAGGGAAAGAAAACTGTAAAACTCTAATGAAACTGTCTCTCCATTCTCCACCATTTTCCAAAGGGAGAGGGGGAAATGGCGGATTTCCGAGAGAGGAGGAAGGTTAGGTGCGTAAAGGATTAACGTTTCATGTGAAGGGTTTACGTGGGAGAAGGAAAAAAAAAAGGGTTTTGCAGGGGAGGGGGCTGCAAAAGGACTTAACTTTTTGTTGCGGAAATGGAATATCTTTGGAGTTTTATCCACGTTTCGAGATGGTAATGGTTGATTTTGGAATATGGGCTAATTTTTGTTCTTCTGTTGTCATAGTGAGACCAGCCATCGCTGAGGGCGGCCAATATGGTTTCAATTTTCTTTGTTTGTTTGTTTTTTTTTTTTTTTTTTTAGTAATTCGTTTTTGTTGATGAACAAGCATTGAATGCTAACGAATGACAATTCCTATTGTCCAACAATCGTACACCTACTGAGCAGAAGTGCTAATTATAAAAAACAGTTATTTAATGTTACTATATGACATTTTTATTTAAATTCTGTCATGTAATTATGATAATGAAAAAATCAATCATTTAATGTTACTATATGACATTTTTATTTAAATTTTATCATGTTAAAAAAATCAATTATTTATTATATATTATATGTATGAATATGATAAAATTAATATTATTCTCAAATTTTTAATTTAATAATTAAAAATATTTGAGGGAGCATCAAAACATAATTTTGAATCAATTTTTTTAATTTTTATTAAAATTTTAATTTTTTGATGTAAAAAAAATTAATATTAATCTTTTAATTATGACATGTATAAGAAGAATAAAAAGTACCTCTTCAAACCTTCGGTGAAGCAGCATGACCTGAGGCAAATCAATGCCCCCAGATAATTTTTTTAGGTATAGTAGTTGAATCTATCTAACACTAGTCTCGGTCCCTTTTTTCTATTTATTTCACTGTTTACCCTCTTTTTACCTTATTTCTGGCTTCTCTGAGCAAAACTATAAATTTCTTCCTTCTCACATAAATGTCACCAACTCAAAAGATAATGGGTTATAATTTGTAGCCAAAGGAGTAACTATTTCCTCTGCTTCAAATCTTTTCAAGGCCTCACTTTAACTGGCTAGCAAGGGTCTTTAGTTGGTCATGATACTGAAAAATGACCAGAACCTGTTTAGGAAACTACATTGTCGTGTTTAAATTGTTATGTAGTTTGTATGTCATTGTCAATTCAGTGTGTTATTATTGTTTTTTATTCTAGGTTGTAAAACTCGTGAAAAAATCTACCAAAATCAGGAAATTAAGAACAATAAGCTGAAGCATTGATAAGAAATACGGCTCGGATTAGGGATGCAAATCAAGACTTGTCTTCCATAGCTAGAACGTGAACACCTGTAGGTGTGAGGCACTGAAGAAAGGAGGCAGAAGCTGCAGTTACCCGCGTTGGATGCTTTTCCGCGGACCATGAAATAGTTGAGTCTAATAGTTAAGCTATTATAAATAAGCAACCATAATTTGTATTGGGAGTTCATTTTATAGGGCATCCTCATGTATTTCTTTTGCTCGGTCTTATATTGTTGATCCTGTTTTGAAGAGATGCAGACTGTAATGCTAAAAATCATCAATGATTAAGTTGTCTTGTCCTGGAATGCTAGAAATGAATAATGAGAAGACAAAAGACAGGCTTACATCATATTCACATGTGTTGCTTTAATGGCAGTCTTTGCTTTTTTGATGGTCCAAAACTCTCTGCAGTATTTGCTCTGTGTGCAGTGGTGAGACTTGAGAGCAGCAAAAAGACAAATATCCATTGTCAACTACAAGGAACAAAAATTAACTTAGAAAAGGGCAGCAAGGCCCCTTAATCCTTGGACGCCATGGTGGAAATGATCTTTCATTGAGCATTATTGAAAGTGTGCAGCACAAGGAAAAATCATTCATTAATTCAATACAATCCCGTTGTAAAAGTATGTAACTCGAAAACTGTCTTTGAAATGATCTGAAAATTTTAAAAAGACAAGAAACTGTATGAGCATCTATATGCCATGTGCATATCCCTGCCATGGCACAATGGCAGCTACCAGCTAGTGCCTAGTTATTTTCAATTTTCAAAATAAGAACCGGGAGGGAATAGCCAACAACTACAGTGCTGTTCAATTCTGCAATTCTGTTCGGCTAATTTCCTACGATTTTCTGACTTTGGCTTTAAAAAACCAGAATGGGACCATGTAGTAACATTACACAAGAGGGATCACTTCGTTAGGGTTGTTTTACTGCCAATCTTGCTATGGGGAGACTCTTTAGGTTTTCTGCAGCATTTGTTAGTAACGATTAAGAATACAAACAGTAATTTGTACTTTGTTGTCAAATTTGTGATCATTTTGTACCCTCTCTTTTGCAAATTGAATAAAGCAAATAGAACTTTAACTAAAAAGGAAATGACTTCAGGACACGTAACTAAATTTACTATTTTGAGGCTTATTTTGCTTTTACCAAAAATGAAATTTATATTTGATTTACTTTGTATTAGAAAAACTAAACCATTAAATGTTTTTTGATAAAAGAAATATCGTCTTAAACAAAGTTTTCTAAAATAAATAATGTTAAAGGAATAAACCTTTACCTTGAGAGAAATGGAAAAAAAAATGAAATAAATTTTTGAATATTTCAAATGAACTCACAATAACCTCTTTTTATAAAGATTTAATCTTAAGATTGTAACTATTTGATTGTATTGTTTTAATTAATTATCATTTTTTTTATTAGAAAGGTGTCCTTCTAAATAATTAATGATAAATTGTTCATTAAATTGATTAATTTTTTCACAACAAAAGAGATCATTTTTTACGTTTTAAGAAATTGTAATTTTTCATGCAAAGTAATCGTCTCCATCAAAAAAGTAGTTGACTACCTCTTTGTATTTTCAATTTCATAATGCTATCCAAAGTAAGGCCATCGACACCCCTTCAGAGTAGTTGATTTCTTTCAACTTACTGAATACATTCAACATATGAATAGTAAATTTTTATCAATTTCTAGAATGGTTCCAATTACAACCATTTATAGGGTAATTGACCCCTTTTTTTTTTATTAGCAATTGACTACTATAACTTTAAACTATTTTCAATAAGACTATCAATCAAAAGCAATCGATTTTTTTTAAGGTTTGAAATCGATTCCACTTATATTTAGCCATAGCAATCAATTGTTATAGGTTGGCAGTCACCTGCTATTTTATACAATAACTATATTTAGCTTCTTTTTGTCAAAACTATTAACTTCATGTCAATGATAATCAATTGCTTTTCCTGAAAGCCTAAGACGTCGACTCCTATGTGCTTGATAGTTGACTTCCTATATGATCATGATGGAAAATATAATAATATAATATGAAAAACATCATATATTATAAATAATATGAAAGACTTACTTGAATTGCAAAAGCATAGCAGAAGTGATGCCGACTTGATTCATTGATCTGACACAAGATCATACATTCAAAAATTATTCATTATTTACAGTGTAAATCTTTAAATATTGAAACATGAGATTCTTTATAAAGTTTGCAAGGAAGGTTTTATTTATTTACTTTGCCCATAACTTTATTTTTCTTTTCTAATTCTCTATATGACTCATCACAAAATCTCACATGTATGAGACTCATCTCATACTTGATTTTGGATGAATATATTCACCCTTTTAACATCGTGATCAAACATTATAATTCTTTTTAAAAAATGAAGAATCTACTCATGTTTTTTTTTTTATCATCTATTTGTTTAAAGCCGAACGCCATTTGTTTTGGAAAAGAGAGTGGCGATTTTCAAAACATAAATTATTAATTGCCTTTGGTAGTATATATCCTAGTTATCAATGTAAAGTTTATCTTTTCATTATGGGCAGATATTTCCTACATCTCCTACTCGCACATAATGGGAGGTGAACTTTCATGATCAAGAGAATATTTTCTTTATTTTTTACAACGAGTTCGTATATGAAAATAAGCTGTGCGATGAGCATACTTCAAGAGCTTAGTTGCTATAAGACTGTTAGGTGCATATAGTAGCTCAAAATCATATTTAGTCACTTATATAACTATTGGGTATGTATAGTAACTCTCAAGTACAAATACAATAAGTATGTAGCACCTTGGATCTATTCAGTCACATTTCAAGTTTCTTACAATCTCTCTTTTATCATATTGCATGATATATTTGTGTATTCATAATTATGTTCGACATCTCAAACATAATTGGTCGGCTTGTGAATACAACCAAATATGATACCATAATGATTTTTTCTTCTTCTAGAATATTTTCATTTCAATTCAATTGCTATCTAAATATGTCTTATCAGATCGAATCATCCATTGCCATTGGTAACAATCCAAAATAGTTAACATTGAACCGATACTTTAAAAAACATTCAAAAGTCTTTAAATGTACTAAATATGAAATCTTCTAACCTCAAGGGTCTCATATAACAAGAAGCAAAGATATATTTTTCTGTTATCCTTATTGATTGAATAATGCACATGTGGTATGAAACACATGTTACGATATTATTTTTATTTTTTCATGCTATCATAATGTATTGGTCTAACAACTCGATCGTTAAACGTGAAACGTTATGAGTCGTCACCAATCATTTTTTATTGAGGTGCGATTAGTTACCAATCTTAATTTTTTGTCTACAAATTTAAGGTTGGGTTTGGGAGTATAGTTACATGTAAGAAAGGTTATAGCATCCCTACAGTACTCGTTCAAAGACGGTACCAATTAATTTTATAAAATCCTAGAATGGTCTTGTTTGAATAGTCTTTTATTTATTTTTATTTTTTTATTATTTGAATATTGAAAATTTTCTAAATTATTTTTGATACTTTCGGTATAACTTAAAAAATTTTGTCACTTTCAAAGTATTCAAAGAAATCACTTATTTCCTTAAAGGGGCTCTATCGTCTGATTTATTTTAATATTTTAAAAATAAAGTAGACTGTAATTTCCTTATATAGACACTTATGGTATGATTTTAAAAATTTTGAGGAAAATCACCACTTGTGATTCCCTTTTAATTTTATCAACGGTAAAAATTTTAATATATTTTATAATATTAATTTATTGTTTATTTTATTTTTGAAATAAAAAAATTTATTGTTTTAATTCCCAAAATATTTTCAACACTTTTAGAATATTCTAAGAAAATTGCTTGCCTAGAAATTTTGATAAAGTCACTATTTATGACTTTTATTCTTGTAAAATTTTATTTACCTTAACAATTTAAATA